TTCCTTTTCCGTTGGTTCACCCCTCAATGGCCGCTGCTGCCAGCATGCTGTGGCCGGCACACTGCGCTGATCTGCAGCCAGGAGCCAGGTGCTTCTCCTGGTCTCCCATGTGGGTGCAGGGCCCAAGGACTTGGCCCATCCTCCACTGCACTCCTGGGCCAAAGCAGAGAGCTGGACTGGAAGAGGAGCAACCAGGACAGAATCTGGCACCCCGAGTGGGACTAGAACCCTGGGTGCCGGTACCGCAGGCAGAGGATTAGCCTATTGAGCCGCGGCACCGGCTGAGAAAATGATATTCTAAGATAAACCTGACCTTGATAAAATGGTTACAATTTCATCATTGTTGCCGTTGTTACTCATGAAATAAAACTAAATTCAGGAAAGGATACTCAACATAAATAAACTTCCATCCCTTGCTGGAACCTTTAAGGCCCAGAATTGTCTGGTCCCTTCAAACTACATGTTATGCCCCGTGCCCCACTCACTGTATTTCATCCACACCCACCTTTCTTCACACACTCCAAGATCTGATCCAACTGCATGCCTTCATTTCACTTAGATCATATTTTGTAACATTGATTTGTCCCTCCCATTGTTAAAATCTCAGTACTTGTCTCCTCCCCAGAGAGGCCCTCCCAGTCCATTGAATGTAGCCACTTCCAGCCCAGGGAGTCTTTTTTTCATCCTTATCACTTGCTGTTTGTATTTCACTTTCTTCATAGCATTAGGGCTCTCAGAAATAATCTTTTCCATTGTTTGTCTGCCTTCAGACATTACATAGTACTCTATCTTTTGCAAAGTGATTTATAGATTACTACTTGCACTCATTTTATTATTTAATCCTACAGCAGGTGAATAAGGTAAATATTACTGCTTTTTAAATTTCGTGCAGGAGGAAGCTGAGACTAAGAAAAGCAGATATCCTGGAGCCATATGTTTGGCACAGTGTTTAACTTACTGCTTAGGATGACTGCATCCTGTATCGGTGTTTGAGTCCCAGCTTCACTTGTGATCCAGCTTCCTGTTAAAGTGCACCCTGCGGAGTGGGGAGGGCAGCAAGTGAAGGCTCAGGTACTTGAGTTCCTGACACCCACATGGAAGAACTGGATTGATTTCCTTGCTCTTGGATTGGGGATTGAACTGGCAGAGGGGAGATCTCTGTGTGTTTGTCTCTGTCCCTCTGCCTTTCAAATAAAATGAAAATAAATAATAAATGAAAATGAAAAGTTGATATCTTGTCGAACAACCTGGTAATAAATGAAAGGTTAGGACCTAGACTCAGATATTTAACCAGTGTCATACAATATGCTTACGTATTTTAAAAACGTTGTTGTGCATATTAATATCAAGAATTATGTTTAGAAGACATGAAGAGATTTTTTAGCTTTTATTTAGTAAATATAAATTTCCAAAGTACAATTTATGGATTACAATGGCTTCCTCCCCCCCATAATTTCCCTCCCACTTGCACCCCTCCTAACTTCCGCTCCCTCTCCCATTCCATTCACATCAAGATTCATTTTCAATTCTCTTTATGTACAGAAGATCGATTTAGTATATATTAAGTAAAGATTTCATCAGTTTGCACCCACACAGAAACACAAAGTGTAAAATACTGTTTCAGTACTAGTTATAGCATTAATTCACATTGGACAACACCTTAAGGACAAATCCCACGTGAGGAGTAAGTACACAGTGACTCCTGTTGTTGACTTAACAATTTGACACTCTTGTTTATGGCATCAGTAATCTCCCTAGGCTCTAGTCATGAGTTGCCAAGGCTATGGAAGCCTTTTGAGTTCGCCGGCTTCGATCTTATTCAGACAGGGTCATAGTCAAAGTGGAAGTTCTCGCCTCCCTTCAGAGAAAGGTACCTCCTTTGATGGCCCTGTTCTTTCCACTGGGATCTCACTCACAGAGATCTTTCATTTAGGTCTTCTTCCATGCCTAAACTACTCTCATGGGCTCTTCAGCCAGATCTGAATGCCTTAAGGGCTGATTCTGAGGCCAGAGTGCTATTTAGGACATCTGCCATTCTATGAGTCTGCTGTAAATCCTGCTTCCCATGTTGGATTGTTCTCTCCCTTTTTGATTCTATCAGTTAGCATTGGCAGAAACTAGTCTTGTTTGTGTGATCCCTTTGACTCTTAGACCTATCAGTGTGATCAATTGTGAACTGAAGTTGATCACTTGGACTAGTGAGATGGCATTGGTACATGCCACCTTGATGGGATTGAATTGGAATCCCCTGGCACGTTTCTTACTCCACCATTTGGGGCAAGTCGGCTTGAGCATGTCCCAAATTGTACATCTCCTCCCTCTCTTATTCCCACTCTTATATTTAACAGGGATCACTTTTCAGTTAAATTTAAACACCTAAGAATAATTGTGTGCTAATTACAGAGTTCAACCAATAGTATTAACTAGAAAAAAAAAATACTAAAAGGGATAAAGTATTACATTGTACATCAACAGTCAGGACAAGGGCTGATCAAGTCACTGTTTCTCATAGTGTCCATTTCAATTCAACAGGTTTCCCCTTTGGTGCTCAGTTAACTGAGCATGAAGAGTTTTTAAGTAGAGAATGACATGATAATTTTGACTTTAACATGTGAGATATGGTTTTGTTTTTCTCCCAGTATTGCTTTCAAATATAGTCTGTGAAATCTTTGTCAACATTTGCAATATGTCCGGAAGATTCATAGGTTTAAGACTGTTTTTGAAACACTCCAATCAGTTTTGACAGTTGACTCATTTACTGATATTAACAGGTCCAGTAAAATCTAAATCAAGGAATCTATTCCATATTTAATCCATAACTTTTTCTGTTCCTTCAGCTCATTCCTGACCTGGAGATTGGAGTCTGCACTTGGAGTTGACTCTCTCATTCCTGTTTCTCACTCCTCCAGAATAGGGGCTGAAAGAGGAAGAAATATCAGAAAATCTTATTTTATGGATACATTTTAAGGTTTCTTTGGAAGGCTCTGCAAGAACTCTATGTTGCATACTTTTCTGATGTGGTTATATATTCTAGAAATTATCTCTTATGACACCTATGTATCTCTTGTCTTCAAAAGTATAACTGCCCATACTCCCCTCTCCTCCATATCCCTTAAAGGATGGCCAGAGTCCTGCTTGCTTCTGTAACAAGTATTTTCCCATGGAAATGTGTGAATCTTTCTTTGGTCCTCTGCTTCTTTCTTTCCTCTATGTGAGTTGTCGTTAGTCTACTCCAAGAGAAAGAAAGACACCTACTTATGTCTTCACATATGCTGGCAAACTCCAAGGGATGGAAGTCAAGTTTGCCCAAGAACTCTGTTTTGTGCTATGCTTTGGGTCATGAGGATAGGCATCCAGTTAACACTAATAAGTGAACAAGTTGGGAAATGAGGGCTCAGTGTCCTTCTCTGTAGGCTCCTCACTGTTCATGAAAAATTCTCTTCTATGGAACATCCTTTGGCTGGAGGAATGTTCTCCAGCCCCTTCTTCTCCATGAAAGAAAGAGAGGAGAAAGCCAAAGTACTCTCTCCCTCAACCCAGAGCTCAAGGACTTCTGTTTCTTAATGACTTCATGAGTTCCGATCTTCTGTATCTATCAGCTGGGTATAGTGGTGGGCACGAGAGAGGAAGGAACCGTGGGTCATTTCTCAATAAGCCCGGAAAGGAGGTGGCTGGTGAATCCCTGGCTCTTCACAGTGACCCATTGTTCCCAGCAATGGAATCTGACAAAGTTTCAAGACAAGAGCAGAACTTCCATTATACTGTGTGTTTCCTATTGGGTAGATATTTTCACAATGCTGTGAAGAGCTGACTTGAAGGAAAAGAGACCAGAGATAAAGATTACAGATAGCAATCCAGGTGAGAAATAAATGGAACTTGAAAGGAAGATGAAGTAGTAGGAATGGAGAGGGGAGATGGGTTTGTGAAATACGCGTTCAGGTTTCTGACCGGGGTAAGTGATCATGCTATTCACAAAGACCTGGTGTGGAGAAAAACAGCAGGCTTTGAGTAAAACTCATGACCATATTGAGTTGATGTCTGTACAAGAATTTGGGTAGAGAAGCCCAGAAGTCAGTTACATATGAGGGTTACTTCAAAATGCTCTTGGAAAAACGCAATTAAAAGAAATTTATTTAGGTGCAAGGAATTTTTGAAATCTTTGCAGTTTTTTTCTTTCTTTTTTTTCTATTTTTTTTTTTTGACAGGCAGAGTGGACAGTGAGAGAGAGAGAGACAGAGAGAAAGGTCTTCCTTTACCATTGGTTCACCCTCCAATGGCTGCCACGGCCAGTGCGCTGCAGCCGGCGCACCACGCTGATCCAATGGCAGGAGCCAGGAGCCAGGTGCTTTTCCTGGTCTCCCATGGGGTGCAGGGCCCAAGCACTTGGGCCATCCTCCACTGCACTCCCTGGCCACAGCAGAGAGCTGGCCTGGAAGAGGGGCAACCGGGACAGAATCCGGCGCCCCAACCGGGACTAGAACCCAGTGTGCCGGCGCCGCTAGGTGGAGGATTAGCCTAGTGAGCCGCGGCGCCGGCCAGTTTTTTTTTTTCTTAATACATAATTTCCACAAACTCTTTGAAGACCTCTTGTGTTCATGATTTCAGTATTTTGCACCAAAATAGATGTATCTGTTCATTCCACGTTCTCTGGACTTGGTGAAGTACCCTCTTATATATTAGGCTTAACAGTGAAGTCTTGCTTGGAACTCTGGGTGGGAGAGTCCTCAGAATTCAGGTAGCCACTCATGCTTAGGAATTCTAGGAAGATGCCCAGGAAGAGTGTTAACAAAAGGGAAGAGAGTCCGTAGAGTCACAAGGAGCACCAACATTTAAGGGTTTGGCTGGCTTGCATGAGAAATTGAGGAGGGGCCAAAAGGTGGAAACAAAACATCTTTGAAGATGTTGAAAAGAGCATCGCCCTGCCTTAAGCCTTGTCTTTCCCATGTCCTGTTCTCTTCATTTGTCTTCTAAAGTTACTCTTTCCCTGAACTGTTTTACAGGTCCTCCAAATGAAGGCGTTAACCTCTTTGTTCTAGGATTTCAACAGATTCCCCAAACCACAGGCTTCAGAACAGAGGTTTCTACAATGCTAAGTAACTAATTAGAGAAATGTGGCTGCTGTTTCTCAGGTGGGTTGCCAGCTTCTCCCACAGATGGGCAGGGTGCCATGATTCCTCTCCGGCAGCTGCCTTTTCTCCTCTCAGAATTTGCAGCCGCACTTCCTAGTGAGGGGATTTTGCTTTTTCTTTACCAGCTTACTAAAATCTCCCATGTTCCAAAGACTCTGCTTCATTGCCCCTTAGGTTTGACAAGAAACTGGAATTTAGTGGGCTTAGCTTCAGCTCTGTGCTGCTGGCAGAGAGGAAGATAATCACCAGGTGTCATAGGCGATTCTTTGTCATGGGGTTCCTGATGCTCCACCTTAGAGGTGATTATCACAAGTGCCCTTATAAATCCCCAAATAGAAACAGGCTTCTGGTCTCACCAGCACAATTTTATTTGGCAGCATGGAGAAATGTAGGGGAGAATCACAAGACTGATAGAAAACATTTCTCAAGACATCTCAAAACCAAATCATAACATTTAGGAGAAAAGAATCGAACATGTGAATTTTTGGTTTGCTTATGAAAGCATCAGTTGAGTAAATCACCAACATTCAGCATACTACTTTGCTTGTTCAAAATAAATGAGTTTCTTCCCTCTTACTGCACGCTTGCTGTCCCCAACTCCTGGAGTGTGTGTCAAAACTCACATCTGCTTTTGTTTCTCAGTTCTTTTGAAGTAGCATGCCAATTTGCAACACTCACTTTCATGCCAAGATAACCATGCTATCGCGTGGGCAAGCTTTTGGTTCCACGCCCTGCGTAGCTCTGCCGAAATTATGCAGGAAACTGGTGGAGAAGCCAGGCAAGCACACACATCTCCAACCTTTGGGGCCTCCAGGGAGCTGCAAGCATTGGTTTCCTTCTACTTTTTCTGCAAGTGCTCCTTGGCTCAGATAGGGAGTTCTTTTTCTCTTTTAGAGGAAACGCAAAGACTGTACCTTAAAAATCCCTGGCAAATATGTGCCCATGTTGGCACGCACATAGAGGAAGGGACATTGCATACAATTTCCCAGTAGCTCTCCCAAGATATGAGTCTATCCTGCTTTCAGAAATCTCCACATAATTCAGGTGTTGGAAGGAAATCACAAGGGATGAAGATAAGGATTTATATCTTAGGCTGATCAGAATTTTTTCTTAGGATAGGAAAGTATTTTCCAAATGAGAGTTGTGTGCAGTAAGTCAGTTTACGGCAGAGACAATACGATCGTAACTACAGAGTATGTGGTACCGTTACTTATAAAAATGCCTTGGAGGGGCTGGCGCTGTGGCTCAGTGGGTTAATGCCCTGGCCTGAGGTGCCCGCATCCCATATAGGTGTTGGTTCGAGACCGGCTGCTCCACTTCTGATCCAGCTCTTTGCTATGGCCTGGGAAAGCAGTGGAAGATGGCTCAAGTCCTTGGGCCCCTGCACCCACGTGGGAGACCTGGAAGAAGCTCCTGGCTCCTGGCTTCGGACAGGCGCAGCTCCGGCCACTGCAGCCAATTGGGGAGTGAACCATTGGATGGAAGACCTCTCTCTATCTCTGTCTCTCCTCTCTCTGTAACTATGACTTACAAATAAATAAATAAATAAATAAATCTGAAAAAGTGCCTTGGCTAGGACGTTGATACTGGATCTAAAGCACATATTTAGGGAGCACTCTCTGTGTCCTCACCACACAGCTTTCCTTCATCTAACTCCCACAACGGTGAGGCCCACAAAACTACTGTTACCACCATCTCAAAGATGGTGAAACAGAGGTTGAGGTAGGATGACCACTGGTACAAACTCACCAACTCCTAAGAGAGTAGTGGGAGTGAAAAAGAATGCTATAAACTAAATTGGTGAAACCTGGTTTTAGATGGTTCTCCATCATCGTAATATGAGTCATAGAGAAAGATCCATATTTTCTCACATTCCCCTTTTCACTTGAGAGCCTGCCAGAGGTAAAGCATGATGTGAAGTAATAAAGTAAAGTTTCTCCTTCATGAACCTTGGAAGAACATAGTTGTACACTTGTAAAAGTTATAATAAATATTGCAAATTTTAAAACAAGTAATGCGTCTTTATGACATGACCATAATATTTGCTATGAAGATTGTTTCTATAATACATTAGCTTACTTTCTAATTGAAGTGAAGATAATAGAATAAAATGATTTCAAAACTGATATAAGATCTTACAGTTTCTCTAGTAATTTTTCTGGGCACACAATCACTGGGATGAAAATGTTAAGCTCTTGTTTTCTTTTCTTTTCTTTTCTTTTCTTTCTTTCTTTCTTTCTTTCTTTCTTTCTTTCTTTCTTTATTTCTTTCCTTCCTTCCTTCCTTCCTTCCTTCCTTCCTTCCTTCCTTCCTTCCTTCTTTCTCTTTCTTTCTTTCCTTCTCTCTCTCTCTCTCAACTTACTTCTTACTCCTGTTAAGTGTAGCTAAAAGGAAAACAAAATGAAAGGAATTTGCTATGATTTTACCAGCAGAACTATAACATCTAATTTTCTTTCCCACACATTCTTCTTGATAGAAATTGTTTTCATCTGTCTCATTTTATAGCCCAAATTCAGTGGTCCTAGGCCCCATCAATTTATTGGCAGAACTTACTCTGCCCACCAGTTCTTGAGATGCAGATTCCAGGGCCTTGGTTCCTCTACCTTGTTCCTGGGTGGGCTGGCAGGCTGCTGTCACTGCCCTGGATGCTTGTCCTGTGGTCACCACTCCACTAGGCACGGTCCCCATCCCTCTCCTCCTCTCATTAGGTGATCAGTGCCAAAAGGGGAAAGGCAACTTCTTAGAAATTCTTTATATAATTTATACAGGATTAAATGGAGAACACAGAGATAACAAAAGAAAAGTAGATATAGTATTTTTAATATGTAGATAATAGCATGAGAATAAATAATACATGAATTATATTATAGATATTCACTACATGAGTTCCATGGATCCTCATAATTATTTACTGGGCTTCCTCTTTTTGGAATCCAACTCATTCCCACATGACAGAGGTCATATCCCTTCCCACCACCAGCGTCATATACCAGAGTTCTGGCCAAAAGGAGAGTCTACCTTATTTGACCCATCCTGAGCCCATCTTCTTCATTTACCCGTAGGTCATCTTCTCCAATGAATATAAATATTCACTCCCTTGAGGAGTCCACCTTTTACACAGGTATGATCAGGATTGACAATAGCCCCGCAATAGTTGATTCACCAACATTTGGTCTAGTTAAGTTTAAGCAACACTATATGAGAGAGCAAGAGTCTAACTCATGATGAACCTCACCAAATTCTGCCTGATTTCTTAAAGTTCTGTACTGTCGCTCACATCCTCTCCATCATGGTTCTCCTGAACACAGAGCTCAAAGAAGGCACCAAGCCAAAGCACCAGGGAAGGACAGTACATCGCTAGGCTGTTTCCCCAGTCCAAAAATTAGAGATCAGAAATGTTCCAAAATCCACAATTTTTTGAGCAATGATATGTTGCCAAAAAATGGAAAATTCGACCATGTGACAGGTGGCAATCAAAATGCAGGTTCACTAAGAATAGTGTATAAATTACTTTATAGCGAGCTGTGTTTGAAACGTAAATGAACTATGGGTTTAGATTTGGGTTCTATCTCCCAAGATATCTCATTTTGTATATGAAAATATTCCAAATCAAAAATCTGAAGCATTTTTGGTCCCAAACATTTTGAATAAAGGATACTCAACTTGTCCTGATAACTAGCTAATCTTTACTATTTAGTCTGAACTAAGGAAATTTTCTGTGTAACATATGACACATCTGCTGGCCTTTAATTCATTGCACCTACCTCTTCCCCTGGGAGTTACAATTGCTTCCCAAAGGATTCTCCTCAGGTGTGCTTTCCAAGAAAAAGGAGGGACCTCAAAGGAAATTTTAAGATTCCACTTCTTGGAAGGTAATAAAATACTTAAAACTTCTACAATGAGTTCAAAGGCACTCAGAGACTCTGCTCTGCAGTTCTAGTGTGTAGCTTAAGCACATATATCTTTTTTGTGTGTTTAAAACTTCACTAGAAAAGCAGAAGTCATGTCAGGTGCATCTAGGAGGCAAGTGCACATCATCCATGGTTAGAGTGTTTGAGGTGTTGCCTGTTCCTGGAGCCTTGGATGGGGAACTGCTGCAAGGACCGCAGCTCATAGACTGGGAAGTCCAACCATCCTTGGGAATGGGATGGCAAGAGGGTCCCCTCAGGTCCTCCTGGCCATTCCACAGTTATACCTAGCTGTGACGTCAGCAACCAAAGGGGCTCAGGGAAGCAAGCACTTTTCTGTCCAATTTCTGTCAATGTTTCTGTAATAGAAAGTGCACAGTGTAGCCTGTTGTTTGCTTTACTACAAATAGAACTAATATTACCTACTCCAGACATTTATTGTGGAAAATAAATGACATGGTATATGAGAAAATATGTTATGCTACAAAAAGCTATACAAATATTAATTATAATTATTATCTTCTATAATAAGAAATTACAGGTTTATTCTAGTTCACTTTTTAAGCACTGAACTACTGTGTCTGTAAAAGCATTGATGAAATTCTATTCTCTGTTGTTACTTACATTTCCTCCATGTTCTTTTCCCTGAGTTTTGTAGGCACTTAAGATGGGAAACCTGCTGACTTCACATCAATGCTGTTGGCAGGAATTGCCTTATTTTTGTAAGAACAAAAGCATATGATACCTTAAGATCATCTCTAAAATGTCTTGATCCTATAACGATTATGTTGTTTTTGAAACAGTCCCTGAAACTGTACTACATCCAGGATTCAGGACTACTGTTGCTTTGAAACTGTATATTTGATCAAAAATATTTGGGGTAACACCAAGCAGTAGGTAGAATTTTTAAATCGGCATGGTGTCTGAATTAGTGTCCTGGCCCAGGATCTGAAACTTAAATTGAAGCCTTGCCTGTGGGAACTCATTTGACTCAATCATTTCATTGTTATTGAACACAATGAACAAGATGACCCTGAAAATCTGAACACTCTTCCCAGAGCTATCTCTTTGGACCACCCCCTTATTTTTCTA